GGTTAAAGACATATTTTAATCATATTTAATTAATCTAACGATCAGGGCCCTCACCACCTATTGTATGTCAAACTTGCCTTGTTACAATTATTTGTATATCTTAAAAGGCTGCAGAATAGGTTGACGCTTTATAAACAAATTAATAAAAAAAAAAAATAGTTACATACTTTCCAAGGGAAGAAATATAAAGTGAGGTGTTGGGCAATAGCTACATGTTTCACTACGCTGCTATACCATTCACTGTAGTACTGTGTTGGTGTGTATGAGAAGTGGATAGATCAGCTTTTTTCAGTTGCCAAATGTGTGTGTTTTTAAATAAAAGATATAACAAACAATGAAAATTGAAAAAAAAAAACACCCATCAATTCAATATACTTTTGTACAGTTAATAAAAGGGACAAAAGGCACCCAGACAATTTCATCTCAATAAAAGTATTCTGGGTGCAGTGCCACAGTCATTTTAGACTCGCACTGATACTTTGTAAAAATTGTAACTTTTTAATTTTAGGGTTAAACACAACTCTAGAGGCTGTCTTCCTGACAACCACTAAAGGCGCTTTTGCAGCAACAACCGAGTTTGGGGACGTTGAACGTCATCAAATGCTGCTCCTTTAATTATAGAATGTTATTACCAGTTGACCTCCTGAGTTGCAACATTAAAACTAGGAAGAAAAGGATCATACTGTGTTGTATACATAACTCTTTCCACAGATACCCCTTTATAACGTGTTGTCTGTCAAGCAGCAACTTCTTCAGTATTTTTTGGAATCCCCAAGGAAATAATAAGGTTTCCAAAACCAAGTTCTAATTAACTCTAATAAACTTACCTTTAGTTCCTTCACGTCTATAGTGCCAGATCCATCTGTATCAAACAAATCAAACGCTTCTCGGATCTCCTGTTTTTGCTCCTCTGTTAGCTCGGGTTTTGCTCCAGTTTTCTTTCGCTGAGCAACACCCAATCCTGGTTTCCTTAGGACAGATGCCTTCAACAATACAGAAATAAGGAAATAATGTACTTTTGATAGAAATTGTATTTTGGAGAATGGAATTGTTTTGCTAAGGTATGCTACTTTTATTCAGGCAGAGTTTATTGTTATACAAATATACTCACAGACAAAAGCTACGGGTTGAACTGAACACTCTTACCATATTATTGTCAGAACGCAATGTAGAAATAAGCCTTAGAAACACTCTAGATATTGATGGAGAACAGCATATAGGGACTCTATAGTGCCCAGACCACTTCATCTCAACGAAATGGTCTATGTGCCGTGCCATGCCATGTAGCTTTACCCCTGCAAGTGAAAACATTGTTGTTCTGCAGGAACGGAAATGTTTTCATTGCAAGGTTTGAATGCTTCTAGTAGCTGTCACTCTGACAGCTACTAGAGGAACGTCCGCAGAAATGGCTGAGTAAAACTCAGCTATTTCTATTAGATGGGCTCACAATGACTATCTAATTTAGGGGTCCTCAAACTCCGGCCCCCCAGATGTTGCTGAACTACAACTCCCATGATTCTCTGGCTATCTATGTATTTCAAAGAATCATGGGAGTTGTAGCTCAGCAACATCTGGGGGGCCGGAGTTTAAGGACCCCTGATCTAATTGGTGCAGCTTAGAGTACAGCATTGAAGTCTATGGAAGATCCCGCAAGACCCTCCATAGATAGAGCCAATTCCCTGCAGTCGTCACTAGTGATGGCTGGGGGATTGACACTTCTTGACAGTGCCTAGTGTAAAAAAGTGACAAGCGGAGGAAAAATACTAAGACAAAGCAGTCCTTAGCTTGTCTCAGTATGTCTTAACTGGGTTGGAATTTCAAATTTAAGCTAAAACTAGCCAAACTGGAGAAATCCTCTAATTAAGCTATGCTTTCAGTTTGGCTACTCTGACCTTTAATTTGAAATTCTCATTTTAGTGAAGTTGTGAAGTGCAGTTAAACTGCAATTAAAATGTGGGGCAAACATACTGTCAGGCTCAGGCTTCCCTAAACTCCGGCCCTCCAGATTTTGCTGAACTACAACTCCCATGATCCTCAGCCTATCTATTTCATTCATAGAATCATGGGAGTTGTAGATCAGCAACATCTGGAGGGCCAGAGTATGGGGAAGCCTGCCCTAGAGCCACGACTCAGCTGTCAATCAGACAGTAGGAACGTTGGTCTGCCTGCAATAATTTAGTACAACTTATCTTGAGAGAGAGAGCGAGCGAGCGAGAGCCAGGCAGCCGGCCACATCTCAAGTGATGCAAATCACTGCTTTTCTGGCAAAATCTACACCTTTCACAAAACTAATGCTGGGCAAAGGTTTATGAGATATGAGGCTCTTCCTGATTTGGGAGGCAGCTTCAAATAGACCCACTAAACAGTGCTTAACATGGGAGCTGTAAAATTTGTCTTTTTAGATTTGATTTAATTTATTTTATTAATTTGCTTGCATTTTTATTGTATTAACTTTAAAATGCATAAAAAATATGGGTTCCACGACCACAACAAGGTAATTCACTAAAATGAAAAGTCAACATGAATTTAAATTCTAAAGGGACACTATAGTCACCAGTCAAATTCCGTAGCGCTGTACAATGGGTAGCCATTACCATTGTTATGCATCTAACTAAAGTAAGAAATACTTGGATTTGTTTACCATTTTGTCACAGGGCAGCATATCTAGATATACAAAAGATTGGACATATAATCTACACTCATTCATAACAAAAGAAAGTAACTGCAGTTTGCACCTTATCTGATCACAGTCACACTTAGATACATACTGATCCTGCAAAACTGAACATTTTAATAGGTTAGCAAACACAGATGAAATGAGGACCTGTGTTGTGTTCACACAATGGCCAAAAGAACAGCAAATCTCAAACTGCCAATGACCAGATGCGAAGTGTGCATGCGGCAGGTGATGCAGACAAGGAAAGCAACATCATGTAGATGGGGGTTTCCAAAAGGTGGATCTCCAATTGTTGCATCACTACAACCCCCACAATGCTTTGTCATTCTAAAAGGATCAACACTTTGCCCAAATCTGACTTACGGTACATTCATTTCTGACTTACCCTTGCTTTAGCTTGTATATTGCAAAAAGAAGAGGAGTACTAAGATAGCCAGGCTTCACATAATAAACAGAAAACATTCACATCAAACATAAATGTATGCCTGCCATGTACATTACTACCTACCATTTACACATGAATACTCACCATTTCCTTGAAATCTGTGTATCTGTAGCAGAGCAGACGACGCAGCCACCTCTCTGCTCACTATTCCCTTCAATGGATGCAGAGCTGCCTGTTACCCGGTAACAAGGATACACACTAACAGCTTACGCTCTTCCCCAAGGATTGCACAGCCTGCTCCCGCCTCCGGGTCCTCCTCCCGCCCAATCTCCTGCCTGCGTGTCCAGGGCCGGCCCACCAGCCTCGGAATCTTTCAGAATACCTTAAATCGAGCGCCACCTTTACCCGCCATTCTAAACGAACGTTGACAAAACAGACGCTTGGGAGATGGTTTCCATAGCAACACGCACCCCCCATGACAGAAAATTCTGGAGGTCCTAGGCAAGCAAGTGGGAGGGGCTAACTGAGCAACTATGGCGATGCACAGGACCTGGCAGGGACAGGGGAGGGAAGTGACAGCCCCAGGCAGACAGGTTAGTAAATAGAACTGTTGAAAGGGGACACAGTTATCTGGGAACAGAAGGATGGAAAGCCACAGGAAGAAGTGTATTGCAGTTGCTCTAATTTATTTGTTAGATAAAGGACCTGACTATTTTATTTATTATTGTTTACTAATAGTAAGGGAATACTATCAGTGTTTTTTTTTTATTTGACTTTTTTTTTCGTTAGAATACAATATTTTTTGTGAAGTAGTAATGGTAACAATTTAAAGGGACACTCCAGGCACCCAGACCACTCCAACTCTCATTACCCTTGACCCTGCAGCTGTAATTATTGCAGTTTTCATAAACTGCAATATTTACCTTGCAGGGTTAACTCCTCCTCTAGTCTACTAGACAGCCACTAGAGGGCACGTCCGTGTTTATAGCACACAAAAAGTGTGCTATAGCGTCGCTGGAAGTCCTCACGCTATGTGAGGACCTCCAGCGTCGCTGAAATTCCCATAGGAATGCATTGAAAGCATTTTTCAGTGCATTCCTATGGGCAGGTCTAATGCGTGAGCTGATGGCGTGGGCGGAACGTGAACCAGCGCTGAGGGACATTGGCGCTGGATGCAGGTAAGTCACCCCTTCAGTAACTTGGGATGGGGGGTGGGAGGGAGAGGGGACCTGCAGTGCCAGGAAAATTGATTGTGGCACTGGAGAGTCCCTTTAAGGAACTTTTACTTGAATAAAAGGATCATCCACTATTTTTTGGGGAACCACTTATTATCGTTATTATTGGTATTTTATAGCGCCAACTTGTTCTGCAGGGCTTTACAATATTATCAAAGGGGAAATCTAACACTAAAGCGACATATAGAAAAAGTTACAGGAACAATAGATTGATGCTCAAACAAGAAAACACCTATTGCTGGCTAGTATGAGTTGGTATGGCTAATTAGAATTTAAACTCTGCATTAGCGGTTTTCTCCAGAGGAGGATGGAGCCACAGGCAACTGCGAACACACATTCAGTCGAAATTCAATCGAAAACAGTTTAAAACTGAACAGTGGGATTGCACCAATGGACTTCAGACACCATATCTACTACAATAAGATGAAGTGGTGATGGTGTCTAGATTGACCTGTTAAAATAACTGAATATTGTGTACTTATCCATAAAACCCCTCACAATAAAATTGTGTGCTAGGTCAAATTAGTTATAAAGGGTTTAAGAAGGATATTCTGAAAATTTGTGTTTTCAGGCGTTTTGAAACATTTGAGAGCGATGAAGCTTTGGGGAGGGAGTTTGTTCCAATAGCAAAGCATTAGGAGTGAAATCAATAATATTCCCCTCTGATGCTCACCTTCATGACTTCTCAAAGCATGCACCGTTCCTGTGGAACTCCCTTCCTTTCTCCATTAGATGTTCACAAAGTCTCCATTCTTTCTTCACAAAAGCATATTAATGAAACTGGTCATAACTTGCCCCCCCACACCCCGATTCCTCTCCTGCAACTGTCATATAGTGAATACTATTCTAGCAACCTACTTTTTTACCCTACCCTTACCTTTTGTGTAACTATACTTCACACCCTCTTAAATATAAGTTCACTGAGCAGAGCCCTCAACATCCTCTGTTCCCGTGCGTCCGACTCGTCTGGTTACAGTTACGTATTTGTTAGTGCACCCATTGTACAGCGCTGTAGAATTTGTTGCCGCTTTATAAATAATAATAGAATCAGTAAGGAGCAAATGGATAGTGGTGTAGAGTGATGGTTGTAACGGGCAAAGAGGGACGAAGGAAGCTGGATATGAGCAAATATCTTAAATTAACACTCCAAGAATCATAACCACTACATCTTACTGTAGTGGTTATGGTTCAAGCAGTTCCCTGGTGCCTCCACCATTGCAATGCTAAGACTGCCTCTATTGGCTGTTTACCAGATAGCCAATAGAAGCCCTTTCTGCAGTTTCACTTTGCACAAGGACATCCAGCATGAAGCAAAACCCCATTGGAAAGCATTACTCACAGCATATGCGCATTAAGTCTTCCACCCCCTCTCCCCCATCGGCTGGAAGTCGGCTGAGGAGGAGCATGACCAGTGGCGCTGGAATCAGGTACTTGACTGAAAGTTTTTTTTTTTGTTTTTTTTTTTTTACTGGATGGGTGGAGTGGGTGCAGGAACGGCAGGAAACTTTAGGAATACAACACCGTAAATCTGAGTATTTCATAAAGATTCCATCTTTATGAAATACTTATTTTGAAGGGGAATGACAGTGCAGTTTTAAATTAGAATTTCTTATATCCTGTTCTTTTAACCCCTTCACCATAACAGGTATTTGAAGTAAGTAATGCATAGCTTGCATATAAACATGTCATTGCACAGCAATTTTGTGTATAGATTTGCAGACAAACTTAAAAGTTAAAAATGTGTAAATATACCTAATATATTAAATTTTTCCCTTGTTAATTCATCCTTAAAATATTTGGGAAATGAAAAGCTTTAGACAGTAAATAGTATCCTTTATCTTGCAATATTTCCCACAAGGTCTGACATGTTGGTATAAAAGCAAAAATGTGACACATGGCGAGCACAACACCCAAACACCCGGGACTTCACATTTTACTCCCATCCACACAGGTCCCACTCACGCATTGATATGTTTTTAATATCCCCATCCTTACTACCAATCCTCAAGTCAAGGGCTATAGGTTCAATCACATGGTCGGACCATACCGACATATCGCTCACTCTCGAACCACCGGGAGAACCCCAGCAATGGTCATTGCGGCTGAACCCCACGCTGCTACACAACCCTGCCATCAGGGAGTAGGTCTCACAGGCTATCAAAGACTATTTCTCCATTAATAAAGACTCTGTGACCTCAAAAGGCACCTTATGGGCAGCACACAAGACGGTCATCAGAGGAACCCTCATTAGCCTAGTATCACACCACAAAAAACAACGCCTGACACAACTCGACCACACCCTCACGGAACTCCGCACCCTCGAATTACAATTCAAACTCAATCCCACACCTGACCTAAACACGAACATTGTGCTGTGCCAGGCCACCATAAAGGACTTTATGTCCGCAGACACAGCTAAGGCTGTCCAATGGACCAGACAGCTGTTCTACGAAAAGTCCAACAAAGCAAACACCCTCCTAGCATGAAAACTAAACCGCAGGGCAACTCATAAACAGATAACAAAAGTCCAATCCAAAGAAGGAAACACGTACGAAACACCTGAAAAAATAGCCACGGTATTCCAAGAATACTTTTCCGAACTCTACGACCATAGCCCTCACCACCGTAGCGATCCCACCCTCCTCACCAAACGAATAGACGACTACCTCGACTCCATCTCCCTACCCACACTAACCCCTGAAGGGGGCAGGAGACTCACAGCAAGCATCACCGCAGAAGAGGTAGCAAACACGCTAAAAATTCTGAAACAAATGCATTGGCCCAGACGGCTTCTCGGGCCTCTATTATAAAACATTCGCTGCCCCCCTACTCACACACCTCAGTGACCTATTCAACTCGATACTCGCGGGGGACCATCTACCCCCAGACATGCTCCAAGCCAACATTTGCCTCCTCCCCAAGCCCGGCAAATCCCACTTAAACCCCGGCCACTTCAGACCCATATTTTTGCTCAATGTAGACATTAAGATATTCACAAAAGTAATGGCAGAAAGACTCAACCCACTCCTCTCCAAACTCATCCACCCTGACCAAGTAGCGTTCATCCCGAACAGGCAGGCAGGCGAGAACACGAGGCGCACGTTCGACCTCATCTGGTTTGCAAATCACTGACGAATCTCCACCCTAATCCTCTCCCTTGACGCCGAAAAAGCCTTTGACAGACTACTATGGCCCTTTCTCTTCGCGGCCCTACGAAAATTAGGATTCCCACGCGCCTTCCTAGACGCCCTACATACACACTACTCCTCCCCCACTGCCAACCTCCTCCTTCACCTCTCCAAACCCCCATCCTTTCGAATTATGAACGGGACGCGCCAGGGATGCCCCCTCTCACCAATCCTCCTTGAACCGCTTCTCCAAGTCATCAGAGTACAAAACAGCAAACAGGGTCTACACATACGAGATGAGGAATTCAAAATAGCAGCTTACACGGACAACGTCCTCCTCACAGTGACCGACCCACTACACTTACTCCCACCCTTAATTACTGCACTAAACACCTGTGCTGCGGTCTCTGGCTACAAACATAACCTAGACAAAACCGAAGCCCTCCCACTGAACATGGACCAACAGACCCTCCAGTCCCTACAAACACGACACCTGTTTAATTTCCGGGACTCAGCTCTCCAATACCTAGACACCATCCTCCCCGCAGACCTGGCACAAACCTACCAACAAAACTACTCTCCTAGACAAGGCCACGCAGGACCTGGAGAAATGGAGAGATATGTCAATTTCCCGAATTGGCCGAATGACCTCAGTAAAAATAAACCTCCTACTGCGGTTCTTGTACCTCTTTCAAACCCTACCAATCCCCATAAGGACGTTGGACTTCAAAAAACTCCAAACCAGCATTGACAAATTCATATTAGCCAATAAGAGACCCAGAATCGCGTGACAAACGCTGTACGTCCCGAACAAAACCGGCAGACTCGGACTGCCCAATCTCACTCAATACTTTCACGCCGCTCAACTCGCACAGACGGTACAACTTCATGCCCCCTACGGCCCTAAACGCTGGGTCGACTTAGAACTCACCATATTTGGCAAAGACTTCCCATCCTTATACATCTGGCTCCCGGAACATGCCAGGCCTCCTATTCCCCCCACACCTCCCTCATTACTCACGAAGATCAAAACCTAGGACAAACTCACAGGGAAACACAACCTCATTTCGCACCCATCCCCGCTCATGCCTCTTCTCTGCAACACAAAGTTCGTACCAGGTATGATTCCCAGAGACTTCACACACTTTGAGGACAATGACCTGACTCGCATTCACCAATTCTACAAAGACCAAAAACTTATACCATTCGCGGAACTACCACAACACTCTCCCCTCACAACGCGCGATTTCTTCCGCTACATCCAAATCCGGAGCTTCCTGAATGAACCGACCCTAAAACAGGCATGCACCCCCCCCCCTTCACACCTCTCGTATATGCGTGCACTAAAAACCCACTCCATAAGGGCCAAATTTCCATGATATATACCCTCTTTAGCCACAAAAATAGGCAGGGCTCCCTAACTTACATGTCAGCCTGGGAAAGGGATTTGGGCCCGATAGAAGACCCTAAAGACTGGACTGCCATCTGGGAAGCCACAGCAATGATCTCGATTTGCGTTCAACCACAAGGAACAAGCTTATGAGACACTCCTTAGATGGTACCTTACACCACTACGCCTAAAACAAATTAAACAGACCGACCACAACTGCTGCTGGAAAGGATGCGGGTGCAGAGGCACCTACATCCACCTCTGGTGGGAATGCACCCAGATATCCGCACTGTGGCACAAAGTGTCGCAGTTAGCAATGCGGATACTACACATGGACATCCCGATGGACCCATGGTTATGGCTCCTTTCGAGACCACTCTGGGACACGCCAAGAGCAAAAAACAAACTAACAGCCAAACTAGCCCTAGCCACTAGACGGGCAGTCGCGGAGAAATGGGGAAGCCCAGAAATCCCATCCCTTGACCAAGTCAAACACAAAATGAATGAAGCCAGGGAAATGGATAAACTATCTGCATTTATACATGACACAACCAAACACTTCGACAAAATATGGGAACCCTGGATATACAAATTCCCAATTCCACCTTAGAACCCTCCAACTGGGATGGACTAGGCGGGTGAGGACCTCCCCTCCCCCGGGGAGAACTACCAGGCAGCCTGTTATGTCTCCCAGCACCTCCCATCTATACCCCATCCCCAAACCCACACAACCCGATTAAATTAACCTATCTGCTCACCTTTACCCACCCCATCCTGCTGAACCTCACTCCAACACACCGCACAACACAAAGACGAACACCCTCACACTGCGCTGGACGCGGTGGTCCTGACTCCACTCACTGATGGGACAGACGACTCGCCACCAAACTAAACAGTACAAACCATACGACATAGAAACTCAACCGCCACTCTCTGGTAACTCCGGCCCCAACACATGTACACAAATACCCCTCACCCAAACCAATTGGACTCAATCATAACCTAACGAGAACTCACTGGAGTACAAGGGGAAGACAAAAACAGAGACAGAACCCAACAAGGAACCAAACACCTTTACACCCTAAACAGACAAGGGGTCACCATAAACAAACTATCGGGAGTACCACGACCCACAGGTAATCCCTCCAGCTACATAACATACGCTTATGGACGAGTCACCCTAACACACATTAACATCCTCCCCATCCCCCCCTCTCTCCCAACACCCATTTCAAAGACACCACAACCTGTACCATAGAGGAGACCAACAAACCACACCCCCTAGGACAGGAACCACACCTGATCCCATGAACACAAAGCTCAGCATACTTGCACTCCCCTACTACGCAACGGATCGAAGAAGAACGCCTCACACACCCTCACCAATGCACAACAATATACCCGAGGGATATACACACCCCCATGACTCAGACTTACGGAAAGACAATCCCATAGGACCCACCGGTGACAGGAACTATCCCCACTACGGACACCCTAACGAACCCACCCACACCAACCAAGGTAGATCTGCCTTGACTACCTGCACAGCATAGCAACATTAGTTATAGCACGGAAGTTCAGAAATGTGTGTCTAGAACCATAGCAATAACAATCTTATTTTCTTCTGTACCCCTTCCCCCACGATATAACAAATATGTGAATAATAAGGAAGACATCGTGACACCTATATACGTTACAAACACGACGAACAACCTGTAAACTTGCTCTATGATTATCATCGTCATCGTAAATCTATGTATGCTATGCAAAAATGTACTTATAACTGTCCTCCCAATCCCTCCTTCTCTTCTGTACCTCTCCTCATATTCAAAAAGAAAAATCTCTCAAATAAAGAATTTATAAAAAGAAAAAGCAAAAATGCAATTTTTCTCACATACAGTAGGTGTGACAAAAATATATCAATAAAAATGGTCAAATACCCTTATATGTATTTGTAAGAACCCTGAAGGCATTACTAGCCGTGCAGCTTCATGAAAATGTCAATAGAATGTCAAAATAATGTCTGCATTTGAGTATAATGTCCACATACAGTAAATACAGTTAAATAGAATATTTCTAAAATAAAGGTATTTAAAGCTGCCATAGCAATCTTTATCCATCTCTGGACTGTTAATGTACAGTGAAATGGTAGTCAATTCACCCCTCCTCCCCATCGTGACTGTAAGAATGGTATCACCCAGTGACACTTCCTGTACTATGTAAAAGCAGGGAGTGAGCTTACATTTTCAGCTACTTATTATTCATGATATTAGTGACTAGTTGCTACTGGCAGAGAAATTCTTTCCTCTTCGAGCTGGTAATCATAGCTAGAGTATGAGGGTGAGAGAGGTGGTGTGGATTAGATTTTAAACTGAAAAAACACATGACAAAAAAACTTTAACACCAGATTATTGTAGTGAATAGATTAATAGCTTGCTAGACCCTGTAGGAGTTCTTTTTCTGTGTGTGATTAAAGTTCAATTTACAGAGCAGGGGATAAAAATGTCTAAAGCTAATTAACATCTGATTAAAATTGAAACCTTTTTTTCATGTAGGCTGTGTGAGTCACAGCCAGGGGGAGGTGTGGCTAGGGCTGTATAAATAGAAACAAAAACAATGCAACTCCTCTATGACAGAGCAGTGGATGCAGGGAATGCAGGTGCATGATCTGTGCTCCAAAACTGTCTGATTAAGGTAAAGTTGTTTTAGTGTATTTTTTTTATTCTAGTCTGTACTGGTTGGTTGGAAATACCTCTGCCATCAGCCAAATGAGGTCATTGAAATATTGTAAACATTTAAAAAAAAATTTGATCACCCATTGCTCTTTGCTTCAAGTGAGAGAATCCTTACAGAAGCGTGGTAGGTTCATTTAAACACAATTGCTTTCACTGTCATTATTTGCATATGTTTTATTGGAGCAGTGCTCACTTTATCTTGGTATTATGACATTTATATATAGATATTGTTACCATAGAGCTACTGTACTGAGGATCTGACAAGGCATGGTGGAGAGCAGGCAGGGATAAAACCTGTTATATCGCCGCCTTCTGTTTTTAACACTGTGTTGCCACAGTTGATTGCAAGCTGCAATACATGGCCTCTAATGTAGGACTGCCTTGGGGGAGTTAATTCTAGGGGCAGGGGATATTTATAATATTTGTTGCAGTGGAGGGCAGAGGTTGAGGATCTGTGTTTGTGAGTGTCTGACTGCATGTGTGTGTCTCTGGCCGTCAGTTTGACAGTGTATGTAAGCTCTTTTGAGCAGGATCCTTTTCGATCTATTGTTTCTATAACATTTTGTAACTGCCTCATCTAATGTTAAATGGGCAATTTTTAATGGCCTTGGACTGATAGTAGAGCTATATACATCATTCCAAGAGAGCACTGCATACAGTTCTTTAAATGGGGATTTAAATCCCCATTTTCTGCAATGTGGTGTGAGCAGGGTAATCCAGTTATCAATCAATGCATGAACATTGAGAATATCACTGCTAAGTGATTGCAGTCCGCTGCAGTGATTCTGAGCTTGCTGCTCTTAGGAGACTCCCAGGGTCTGAACATTGTCTTCCTCGAGATTGTGATCAGTGCTGGGTTTTACAGGCTGCCCAGCACTGATCAATCTGTAATCGGCAAAGACAGCACAGTATTCATGTGATGCTAAAAACAGCCAGTAGATGGTGGTCACATACTGCTCTCTTGTTTTGACATGGAAATCCATCTTCAGTTATTAGCAGAGAGTATTGATTAGGCTAGGGTTAGTGTGAGGGTTAATACTGTTTTAGGGTTAGGGATAGTGTAGGTATTCAGTTAAATTTAGTATAAGCACAGGATTAGGGTTGGTTTAGGGTTAGTGTTAACTATCACAAATATAGATGCTAGACATATAAGGCACTTAACCACCAAGATGCATATCAGGAGTTCTTTTTCTTTAGTTGCACTTGATGTGTAAAAATTATAAAAGGCCAAAAAATGCCACCCAACTCTCACTTCCCTAGTGCAAATTCTAGGTTCTGTTTTCGTTCGGAATTTGTACAATTATCTCTGTCTTAAACCCCTTAAGACCGCAGCCAAATGTACAAGTTGTGATCAAAACAAAACCTGGCATTTGCGCTATATGTCTGTCCAACCGTAATTCACCTCTTTCATATTAAATACACTTATTATATATCATTTTATTCAGGGGAAACAGGGCTTTCATTTAACATCAAATATTTAGGTATGGAACATAATTTAATATGAATAAAATATTAAAAAATGGGAGAAAATAAGTTTTTTTTAAATTTTCTTAGTTCTACGTGACATTTTAACTGTGAATGTCAAAATACTGTTTGCTTTTACTGCAATAAAATGCACATATTTGTATTGAGCGATATCTCACATGTAAAACAGTACCCCCTATGTACAGGTTTTATGGTGTTTTGGGAAGTTACAGGGTCAAATATAGCGTGTTACATTTTTCATATTTTTTACATTGAAATTCGCCAGATTGGTTATGTTGCCTTTGTGACCATATGGCAGCCCAGGAATAAGAATTACCCTCATGATGGCATACCATTTGCAAAAGTAGACAACCCAAGGTATTGCAAATGGGGTATGTCCAGTCTTTTTTAGTAGCCACTTGGTCACAAACACTGGCCATAGTTAGTGTTAATATTTGAAAATGCAAAAAACTAATTTGAACGCCAATTTTGGCCAGTGTTTGTGACTAAGTGGCTACTAAAAAAAGACTGAACATACCCCATTTGCAATACCCTGGGTCTAAGCGTGGTACAATCAGCGTTACTCTAAGGTGCGACTGACTCCAACATCGAAATGGAAGGTGTCTGACTGAAGGAATAAAGTGATAGATTTGTTCAACGAGCAGAGATAATTGGCTATAAGCTAAGTACCTCTCTCTTTTTATTTTTTCATTTATCTATAAAGTAGCTGGATGGGTGAAACAGTATAAGGGGCAAGTAGAGAAAGCAAGGCGGAAGATAGATACACGAGCAATCAAGTCACAGAGGAAGAAAAAAAAGAGGAAGGAGGACTGACTGTCAATAAATACAGTATACAGCCTGTTTAGCTTCTATCTGGATATCGTTCCCAGCCTTCCTTATTACTCACAAATAATTGAAAAGTAATGCCTCAGTGTTAGAGCGAAACTTCCCTAAATATAAAATAGAGCTAAATGGAAGGGAGAGGATAAAGGAAGGAGGGAGAACCTGAGAAAGGAGAAAGAAAAAAACATAATAAACTAGGAGAGTAAGGAGAAACAGAAAAAAAAATAGACAACCAGAAGGGGGGAGTTCTCCTCCTCCGATCCTCCTTCTCTCCTCCCCGTCGGCTGAATGCGCACGCGCGGCAAGAGCTGCGCGTGCATTCAGCCGGTCACATAGGAAAGCATTATCAATGCTTTCCTTTGGACTCTGGCGTGCTCTCACTGTGAAAATCACAGTGAGAAGCACGGAAGCGCCTCTAGCGGCTGTCAGTGAGACTGCCGCTAGAGGGAATGGGGGAAGGCTTTACCCATTCATAAACATAGCAGTTTCTCTGAAACTGCTATGTTTATAAAAAAAATGGGTTAACCCTAGCTGGACCAGGCACCCAGACCACTTCATTAAGCTGAAGTGGTCTGGGTGCCTAGAGTTGTCCTTTAAGTGTTTAACCATTAAACAACCATCTTGACTACTACCGTGGGACAGCACAGAACTTGGAGACCTCTGAACCATTTGCTTTGCACACTCTTTTAACCTTTTAAAAAGGAACTGTATTTGCTGTTTATCATATTTAAAATCTACATAAATATTAAATTAAAACCATCCGAGTTAGCATGTGCTTTCTTTTAGCACATATGGCATTCAGTATCATGAGACAAGTCAAACAACCACTTGAGGAGAGAGAAATCCATTCCCCTACAGGCTCGTAATAATTTCGGGAATATAAATGAAGTTGAAACTTTATAGAATAAAATCCATTTTGCAAAGTAAATTAAAGCAAAAATGTATATACTTGCTTCTGGGAGTGAAGGGATTAAAGACTGTGACCCAATTGCAGACTAGCCAGGTAATTGTAACAGATAAATCTCCTGTACCATGGTTAATATGCTTGTAAAACAAATGTCCGATGATAGAACCTCTTTAATCAACTATATATGTAAAGTGCTTAATTATTAATACTTATATTTTCTTTAGAGAACATTGATTTATATCCAACCCTTGGGAATTAAATTATTTCACTTTATACCTAGGTAATGATGATCGATCATGGCATCGCTAATGCAATAACAAAAAGCCACGCGGGACTGCATGAGTTATGCACCTTGGCAAATTCTGTAAAATCCTTTCTGGGACCCAACAAAGCATACAAGTTCATCTTCGACCAAAGTAGCAATGAGTGTACATTGACTTGCTCTGCCCATAGACTTCTGGAAGGCCTGGATTTGAGCAGTGCTGTTGGACAACTTCTCAATGAAACTGTTCAGGTTCATCATAAGACTTATAAAACTGGAACAACAACTCTATTTTTTCTTGTTGGGGCCTGGAGTACCTCTATACTGGAATGTCTTCGCCAAGGAGTACCTATTCCATTAATCGTCTCAGTCATGTTAGAGGGGCTCGGCTCATGTATTGAGGAAGTTCACTGTTTTCAGGAGGTTGTGAGCAATGTACTTACTGCTAAAGATTTTGAAAAGAAAATGACAGAAGACATGATCAAAAGCCACTCCGATCCAAAGAGTTCTAATAGCATGGCTGACTTAGCTTACTGCTCTCAGTCCTACCTTAAATATAACAAACACACATCTGTGAACCAAATGAACAGGGTGCATTCTAACAGACAGGCTTGTCGAAGTAACAAGCTTTCTCATAGTAGGTACTTTTTAGGTGCTCAAAAAGGTATTCAGAATCAGACATGTGAAATTCCCTGCTACAGTCACACCCTGGGAATTCTGACAAAAGCTTTGAGTCATGGCAATCAAGAGGTTATGAATCAGGTTGAAAAAGCTATTGACCATCTTTGCAAAGAGACTCAAAAAATGCACATTGAACGAAAGACCTTCCATGCATCACAGTTTCATGTATGTTGCTTGCCAGGTCTATCAGAAGTACATTTGAAAGCTTCTTCTGGATATATAACTTTAGTTCCCCTGGAGTGTGCTGCTATCATTAAAGTTCTAGATGGCAAATCCTTGCGTGTGCTTCTGTTAGATGGAGATTTAACTGAACAGTATCGGCATTTGGGCTTTAATCGGGCAACCAACGTAAAGGTGACGTCTGATATTGTCAATGTTGATGAAACTATGTCAAGAGAATTCTGGGCACAGAGTGCTTGTAGGAATATCATGGAAGCCAATGTAGACTTAGTTTTAGTTAGAGGGGATGTCTGCCCAGCACTTTCGACACTTTGTATTCACAAGAAAATCCTTGTGGTTACTCATGTGAAGCAAAATGTTCTCCAAGCTTTTAGTGAGGCCACAGGAGCAGAACCGATAGCATATTTATCACAAATCAACCAATGCTGTGTAGGAGGTGGAGCTTTGGTAAGCATGTGTACCAATGGGAACTCGGTAGTAGAAACAAGACAGAAAATCGCTGTGACTATTAATGCCAATAGAGTAAACCTGGTCACATTTATACTTAGCAATAGACTAGTATCTATGTTGCAAATCATAGAAGATCAATTTTGGACTTGTTTATATAGAATACACAATGCTCTGCAGGACCAAAAGGTGTTTTATGGAGGAGGTGCAGTTGAACTGTTGTGCCTCAGTCACCTTCAGAGACTTCAAGTATCTGGTGGAGGATCTTTCCAGTCAACACGTTTATGGACATCCACAACCACATGTTACAAGGCGTCAATCTATAAATGTCTGGCTAAAGGCTGGAACAAGTATCTATCTGCTCTACTTTGTAATACAGGGAATTATTTGTCAGAGCTGGATGCAATGACCTTCATACAAAATGAAATCCAAACCCTTAGCTGCTGTGATTCTCCTTTGGAATACCTCCGCAATGAGTACAGTAAAAAGGTTTTAATGATTGATTGCGTAGACCCTTCCGAATCACACCAGTCTATACCAGTGTATGATAATGTTATTCCAAAACTGGAAGCTTGGCGCTCTGCATTGCATTTGGTTCTATTAGTGCTTCAGACAGACGCTGAGATAATTACCGGCTCTGCTGCTCAAAGTCAGATATTAAAGGCAGGCATTTTAAAAGATGAATGGCTCTTTTTATAGCTTTTGGCATAACTGACTTTTTTTTCATTCTGATAATTCTTCAATTGTTACTTACAACATAACAAAATATTTTTACCTTGGAGAGAAATTCCCCCTTGTGAACCACAGTAGAAAACAGAAATGCATCTTTTTTGTTGGGTGTAGTTTCACAACTCTAATATTGGTGTCATGGCTGGTGAAATACTTTGGACTAGTTTAATAATAGAAGTAAAAATGTATTTCCTTGTTTCCTTAATTACATGTATTTGTTGATGCTGAGGCCTTAGTAATGTCTTTTAGACTGTTAAGCCATGTTATGCAAGTGCTATAAGCGTGAATGAGGTTCCAGCACTACCATATTTATTTTTTTTGTTGGCTATTTAGAAGCCATGTAGATGTGATAATTTCTACTTATTAAATTTCTGGCATAAATTATGACAATCTTACTTTACTGAAGTAGTTATAGTAGAAGTGTGGAACTGCACTCTTTCCCAAGTGTTATGTAGCTGGGTGCAGCCAGGCCAGTCCCAGTACCATGGACCAAGTACTAATAGCAGATAGAAGAAAGGTCCAGGCACTCCAAGGTACAAAAAGGCAAATTTATTGTACCCACTCCACTCACAAAGTTTCGAACTATTCGGTCTTTGTCAAGCTTGGCTGACCAACTTAAGTCCATGTACAGCTCTCAGTGGCCAGCTATTGTGGTGAGAGGCATACATCATATATGATTCGATCAGAAAGCAACCCAGTGTTGCTTTCGGCAGGACAATCCTGATTTCAGGGTCCTGTTCCGCTGTCCCACTTTATTTCCCTGGTGTCTTGCATTTGAGGGCAGCACAGTGTGAGCACGTCTTTAATTTATTTCTTGTTTAATGCACTTCAAAATTTGCCTGGCCTCATATGAGGAACAATATCAAAACTGCCCTGGAACTCAAAGGTTTTAATGTTTTAACCATTTCAGTGTTGTCATAGAGGAGAGGAGCATGGAATTTAAACACATATAAAACCTATCAATTAAAAAATGTATTTATTTTGTTGTGAAGTCAGGCCTTATTTTAATATTTTTGGATACAGTATTTAAATGGATAAATGTTTAAAATATAGATAGATATGTTGATATATATAATTTTGTAATATTTTTTACATATTTTTAATATTTTTAAAAGTTTATTCAATAATATAGAAACATTTAAAAAGCTTAACCAAAAAATAATAAATTGAGGCCTAAATGAAAACTTTTATACTAAAAAATAAAACAATACAAATCCCCAACTCAGCTGGGTCTAACATTTTAGATAATGTTGAGTTAAAGGACCACTATAGTGCCAGGAAAACATACTTGTTCATAGGGGGTGGAAGGGGTTAAACTTACCTCTTTCTCCAGCGCCGGGCGGGGACTCTCCTCCTCCATAGCGACGTCATCGGCTGAATGTGCATGCGCGGCAGGAGCTGCGCGCGCATTCAGCCAGTCCATAGGAAAGCATTCTCAATGCTTTCCTATGGACACTGGCGTCTTCTCACTGTGAAAATCACAGTGAGAAGCGCTGAAGCGCCTCTAGCGGCTGTCAATGAGACAGCCACTAGAGGCTGGATTAACCGTATTATAAACATAGCAGTTTCTCTGAAACTGCTATGTTTATAGAAAAAAGGGTTAAACCTAGCTGGACCTGGCACCCAGACCACTTCATTAAGCTGTTATACTTTAGTTTTAGAGGAGGTTTTTCGTACGTGATAGTTACATTAAAATCTTTGAACACTAGATGGCAGACTTTTTCATCATGCATTTCTTCCTCACTATTTTGTATTGAAATATATCTTTGTCATTTTTTTATTTTATTTTTTAAACATGTTTTTTTTTGGTGGGGGGAGGGGAAGGTTGTTTTATTTATTGTATTTGTTTTTTATGTTGTAGGTTTTTCTTGCTTTTTACATTTTTTTTTTTTTATTATTTTTTTTTTAACACCAGTTTTGTTATCTTAGGGATGTTGAAAACGTGGCACATAACGTGTCGAGTTTCTCTGCTGTGGCACATCTTTTACGATGTTATAATCTCTGCAGGTATAATTCACACTGACATTACAAAGCTTTTAGTGCCTTCATTAGCCACATAATTGTATTTTTTTTTTTTACCTGTGTTTCACATGTTCAGAGAATATAAATGGGCACTCTAAGCAACAAAACAATATCTTAATAAATTGTATAAACTATCTATTTATTTATTTTTATTTATTTATTTATTTTTGCCTGGACCCTTATTAAATTGGAAAATGTTTGATTCCTGCTTTAGATGTATATCAGTTCAATAAATATATACTAAGGCTATCAGAAACTTTACATCTTTCGGGTTATTGTAGTTAAACTGATGGTATGTACTTGGCAGAGTTGGTTGATATTTAAACTAATTAATACACCAACAATGGTTTCCCTAATGCAAGGGGTGCCATATTGTTAATTCCTTATGCTGGGTTCTGCTGTGAAGTTTGTATTTGTTTTATTGTCATTTGCTGATAAGCTAGTAAATGAAAACAGGTATAATGTTGACTCATAGGCTTGTCAAGTAAATTAATTGACTTGTTGATTTGAACTCCTAGCAAATTGATTATAATTGCATTGTTTTGTTGCTTTGCATTTTATAGTGTGTATTATTAAACTTCTATATATTTTAAGCAAAGTCTGTTGTAACGGATCAACTGGAACCCAGACTGGGTACCTCCGTTGAAGGATGCTCCTAGCGCTTCCTGAGGACTCCAAGTACTGCAGCAGATGCCACAACCACCGAACCGGAGAAACTTATGAATACTCTCAAGCATATGAATGCTGTAAACAGCTGAACAGGAAAAGCTTACACTCCTGGCAATCAGCATACAATCCAAATCCCCCAATAACGAGACGACACTTTGTTTTGAGGTCAAGCAGAACTGACTGTACTGGCACATACAGCCTCTTTTATTCACAATCCACAAACATAGTACTGCCCACAGGGTTTTGAAATACAACCAATCAATCCATACAATACACACATACACTCCCACACAAAATCCTCCCCTCTGCCTGTGATATGATTACTGAACACCATGGTTAATATAATTATCACAGGCAGAGAAATACAGTATTATAAAACATATCACAGGGAGCCCAAAACATGCAATAACCCCATAAAGTATATCCTCGGAACCGGGGTATCTGGGTGAACCACATATCCAAAATTCACCCAGATCCGTTCAGTAGTTTGGAAGATACAGTTTAATGCAGATTCCGCAGAACATATACAGGCTAAATGAAAAACAATCACTGTATAATGTGTCCCCTGTTGTATAGTTTAAAACTACTGCATGATGTCTTTGTGCACCAAATACCAGCGAGATGGCACCGTGTAGAAAAGTCCAAACTGTCTGTGAGTTAAAATAGCCGCCATCCATTGTTCTCACCATGTGCTTCATCCATTGTTCTCACCATGTGCCTCTGATACATGAAATGGTGGCCACCCAGTAACTCCACAGTATGTCCCCAGATGGTTCTTAAAGGGCCAGCAGCAGCACAACACAAATCCAGTATGCCCAAATCATGTCTTTAAAGTGCAATACATCCCAGGGGCCATAGTCACATGGCAAGAGGCTGGCAATCAGTCTTCTCCAATGCCCAGTGGTGAGGTCGGTTTCGCCACACGTGTTTATATCACCACTTGAAACAAAGAACTACAGGGTCCCTGGAGGCCTGAAAGCTCTGTGTGTGAATATCATCAGATAATATTTAATCTATATTCCATACATATTAAACCTTACCCAACAGGATCCAGTAAGATTTCCATACTTCAGCCCTCTAAGAGACTAAGAAGTTTAATTCTCATGTTTGTGACATCTTCTATTGGCCTGGCATGAGAAAGTTACATGGGTCAGTCAACTTATTTAAAGGACCACTATAGTGCCAGGAAAACAAACTGGAGTTACCCTAATGTAAACATAGCAATTTCTTCCTGTTTACAGCAGGTAGGGTTAACCCTAGATGGACCTGGCACCCAGACCACTTCATTGAGCTGAAGTGGTCTGAGTGCTTATAGTGGTCCTTTAAGATTTTCATATATATTTTATTTATTTTGTGCAGGTACATACAATAGCCCCAGCAGCAGTATAGGCATATCACAAATATAAATTAGACAGAAGTGACCTACCAGGAGAAAGACTTCAATAAAACATGCTGAAAGAGTGGCACACTATAACACGTTATGCTAACTAAAGGTTATAAACTGAAAGTGAAACTTAACTTCACTTAAAAATAAAATTTAAAAAAAATGTAAACATAAAGAAAACATAGCTGAGATCACATATTAAAGGCAGAGATAATTGGTGAAACGAAATCAGTATTGTATATAACTGGTGTCGGCACAGTGTATATTTTGTCCTATGGATTATGTGATAACCTGATGTAAAAATCATACAACATAAAAAAAAAAACACGATCTGAAGCGTACATAACGCACAATTAAACTATCAGCCGTCAGTCAATCCAGTGTGTACCAGAGCTAGCTAGATAGATAGAACTGCCAGAAGCCCATGCATCATGTAAGCCAATTCCCATTCGTAAAGGTAGTCCCTGCTGATTCCTATTAATACCACAAGACCGTAAGTGAGTGTTGGCACAGCCTCCGATCAATATATCAGTTAGACACGCCTGTTTAAAGTGGGAATGGTGCAGGTGGATTACCTATTTAGGTGCTCTCCCTGTTAAGATTAGCGGCAAAGGCCCCGGGACAGGATCGCTGGTAGGTTACACTCTGTCTGTGCAAGGAAAGAACCTGTGTTGTGGTAATGCTGTTGCAGAGGAAACTAGGATGATATTTCACAGACTCCTTTCAGGACTCCAGCCAGAGCCAAAAGCTGGCACATAAGAAGTTGTAGGCTTCCATAAAAACCGTACACACGTTCTAGGTGTACTGCCCGTCACGTGGCCACAGCTGCGCCACTTGTATCTGCCATTGATGTGCTTTGAGTAATTTCAGTAATTGGGGGCACCAGGATAACCCTCACTAGTGAGCGTTAGGGTCTGTCAGACCAAGTATGATTTGAACTAGGGTTGAGAATCACGCTGATAAAGCCAGGTAAGTTCTTGAGGGTTCCCCAAGGATAGCCCTTCTGGAGTTAGAAAGTACTTAGCTATCATTAGCTAGAAAAATGTGATTATTAGGAACTTTGGCATAGAGCTAAAGGAAGATGCATCCATCCAGTATGACGGTCAAGCCCCAAAATATATATATTTTTTAATAAAAAGCAAATAAAAATTAAAAAACATTTTACATTTTATATTGATGTGCGATCAGGTTTTACATGACAATTTGTTATGCATGAATGTAAGTGGGGCAAACAATGACATTATTAAAGAATTGTTGATTTAGGCAAAGTTTTGAAAATAAAAAAGACGGACAGGGGGCAGAGGTAGCAGCCGACTACGATTAATGCACATTCCAGGAGCTCTTTGCTCAACTAAACAAAACCAGCTAATTTCCCAAAAAAGGAAAAAAAAAACAAGAATAGGGGTAGATAATGTTTTGTCCAGCATGAACATATGTGATTTGCTGAAATGCTTGAAGAGGGATTGAAGGCCCAATATGGCACACACACTGAAAAATTCTCAACCTCCTTGGATAAGATATCCTAGAACGCTCCTGCTTTACCTTTCATTTCTAGGTTTCCGGACTTGGCTCCTGTCATTGCAAGTATGCTCAAAAGCCTTGTAGCCTACCTGCCTACCAATACTGCAGTAGATATTTCCTGATTTGAAGAGGAAATAGAAGGGGCTATGGTTTTTGTCAGCTGTTGAAGAGTCTGTGGGCCTCTATAATGCACAACTGAAACTCATCAAAAGATCCTTACAGAATCTCCATCATACCTAACAAACATCATGTATTTGATGTTAAGTTGACGATCTACTGAAGGACCACAAGAAGGGAAATAACATGGTTAGAGGGATTTCAGATGGACTATCTGACAGAAAATAACCTTACTTACCTTGCAGATTGTTCCTCACTGCACTCTATAGTAAGTTATCTTGTACTTTAGGGGCCCACATGCTCACCTTGTTCTCAAACTTAGCATGCATTCCTTTGGCATGGGGGAAGTCAAAAATTTTAAGGTTACTCCCTGACTCTAGCTCTGTGGACTTTATAGTTCTTTACTTTTATGCTATGTTTGTAATTCATTCTCAGATGTCTCATAACTGCTTGTATTTGTAAACTTCTAAATGAAGAATTATTCAAATAAAATGTTACTCCAATCAAATATGTGTTTAAGTATGTTAATACTTTGGCAGAAAAATGATAATGCATTAATCACTGTAACTTAAAGGGTTACATATTAAACCACAATTATTATGTTCGTATATTACCAGTATTTTCTTACTACTGTGTGACTGTGCAACTATTTACTGTTTCACCCAGTATTACATGGCTAAATATATCACAAAGCAGCTTTTATAGGTCAAATCTTCTTTAAAAAAATAGTATCGGAGACTAGAATGTGTCACCATCACCAGTACAGTTAATGTCTGTCTAAACACTTAAAGTTACTCATCCTTACAAACCATTAACGTCGGGTATGAATGCTGTAAGATAAAATGTGTCAGACAGTTCTGACTATTACAGTTTATTTGTGTTCTCAATGTGGTTTTCATTGACTGCAAATAAGAAGTCTCTCACCGGTCCAGCTTCTGCCATTTTGGATGACCTTATTCTGCATTCTCTGTTTGTTCTATTATATAATTTACATCCTAGTTGTTTGTCAGTATACCTAAAGAGTTACTCCAACCATCAGGACCACTTTTGCTTTTAGAAGTGGGTAATGGTGATAAGAGTTTGTGCAGCGTTTCTACTTGACTCCGACACACATGACATAGGTTCCTGGCGACATAATCTCAGCAGTGGGAGTGCGCCTCCATTTTCAGCATTGCCTTTTTTAAGTATATTAAGAACCCTCCATCTCCACTCTCTCCCACCCTTCCTGGCTGCAAGCATTCTGAGCTAGGGAAAACTGCTCATAGAGAAGCAATTGCTTGGACAATAAATGACATGGCTTGATGTCAGACAGGGAGTGAAAACGAGGATTGAATTCTAAGTCTTTTTTTTTTTTTTTTTTTTACAATTTTTATTTTCGTCAAAGAAATAACGATGTGGGGGTGGGATGGGGGTACAGAAGGAAAGTTGAGGGGATGGGGGGATGCAACAGATATATTCACCATCTCTTACAGCATGTAAATGTCCATCCAGTGTACACAGAGCATCAATGCAAGGCCTTCATCTTGGTCCGTTTGGCAACCCGCCCTTTCTACCTTCCCGTAGGTACAGTTACAGTAGGGTCACTCTGACTTTCAGAGTGTGCCAATCTCCATGTGTCCCGAAGCCTCCCATGCCATCTGAGCTATTCTAGACGGAGGCCACAGCCTGTGGAAGCAATGCTTATATATGCGCTGTTTATCAATGTCTGTTATTAGGGTGGACATGGAGGGGCACTGTGAGGACTTCCATGCTCTAGCTATCAATCTTTTGGCTGATAATAGGACATGGTATATAAGCTTCTGCTCAAATTTAGGGAAGATATCCTGGAAAAGCATGGTTAGGTATGTAGCTGGATGAAGGGGCAATGTGCTCGTCGTCAGGGATGACCGTAGGGTTTGGACCCCTTGCCAAAATGGTTGGATAACCGAACATTGCCACCAAATGTGTAGCACTGTCCCATCTTATACATTACATCTCCAGCACTTTGGTGAGCTATACATGATATATCTTGTGAATGTGCATCGGCACCATATACCATCTATACATTATTTTTTGCTGCTGTTTCAGTAGGGTAGCACTAAGTACCTTTTTAACCTTTTTTTTTATAGTTTTTTTTTGTTTGTTTTTTGCCATTGAAAAAAACGGGGTTTGTAGTGCCCAATAGGGCATTATAAACAGAAAAAAAGTTGTTGAAAACTTAGTTCATAGATCAGGGCCGGTGCAAGGATTTTTGGAGCCCCCCATGTGACATCACAATGCCCCACCCATATTATCTGCTATATGAACCACTGCACACAGTGTGTGTTTACATTCAAAAGACTGCAGGAACAGGCTATACACACCAGAACTACTACATTAAGCTGCAGTGGTGTCCCTTTAATGTGAGGTAAATTAGAGATTAGTGCCACGAATAATATACTAGATTGCCTAATTACAACCAGATGAGGGTGATGATGGGCTCTGGTGGCAGTCTGGCTCCACTGGTCTGGTGTAGAACCGGCTCGCTGGAGGATGTTTGTAACTGTGGTCACAAAAATCAATTCTGGGGGAACGGGAAGCAGCTGCATTTTTGGGGGCCCCTTACACAGCTCAAAGTCTGGGCCCCAGGGCCTGACGGTGAGTATGCCCATAAGGCCCACCCATAAGTCCTACATGTTCCTCCCATGTGTTATGTGTTATTGTAGAGGATCTAAAGTGTGTGCTTATGGAAGGTAGTGTATAGGGATACCAGTTTGTGTAGGTGATGCAGTGTGTATGTGTAGTGGATGCAGTGTGTTTTTGTGTAAGGGATAGAAAGCAGTGTGTGTTTGTGTGTAAGGGATGTATTGTGTTTTTCTGGTTGTGTAAGGGATGCATTGTGTGAATCTGTTTGTATGTGTAAGAGATGCAAGGTGTGTTTCTGTGTATGTAAGGCATGCATTGAGTATGTGTAAGAGATGTATTGTGTTTCTGTGTGTGTAAGAGAAGCCGTGTGTTTGTGTGTAAAGGACGCAATGTGTGTTTCTGTGTATGTGTGCAATGGATGCATTGTCTGTGTGTAAAGGTTGCATTGTGTGTGTGTGTAATGGATGTATTGTGTGTTTCTCTGTGTGTAAGGGAAGCATTGTGTGTTTCTGTGTATGAAGGGATGCATTGTTTGTTTCTGTGTATGTATAGGGAAGCATTGTGTGTGTAGTGTGAAAGATAAAGTTTGTGGGGTAGGATAGGGACTGAGTCCTACCAGCCCCTTTGTACTTCTCTTTCCCCCCTCCCTCAGCCTCTCTCCCCTCTTGTTACTGCTCTCCCCTCCTGTCCCTTAGTGCTCTCCCCTCCTGTCCCTTAGTGCTCTCCCGTCCCTCAGAGCTATCCCCTCCAGTCCCTTACTGTTTTTCCCTGCCCCACTGTCCCATTGTGAGCTGCACTGTCCCTTAGTGATCTCCCTGCTCCCTTCCCGTAGTGTGCTCCCCTCCTGTCTATTAAAACTCTCCCCTCCTGTCCCTTAGTGCTCTCGACTCCCGTCCCTTAGAGCTCTCCCCTCCTGTCTCCTAGTGCTCTCTTTTGTTGTTCTCTTCTTGGTGCTCCCCCCATCCCTTAGTGCTCTTTCCTACCACCTGCCCCTGACCTTGAGAGCTCTCCCCTGCCCCTTAGTGATCTCTCCACTTCTCTGTCCCTTAGTGGTCTCTCTTCACCCCCACCCCATTAGAGGTCTCTCCTCTCTCCCTCCTTGTTGTTTCTCCTCCCTCCCACTCTTAGTGGTCTCTCCTCTCCCCCCAACCCATTAGTGGTCTCTCCTCTGCCCCCCCTCCCATAGTGCCCTCTCCCCTACCCTTAGTGCCCTCTCCTCTCCCCCACCATTAGGGGTCTCTTCTCACCCTCCCATCCCTTAGTGGTCTCTCTTCCACCCCACCTTTGTGGTCTCTCCCACCCTCCCTTAGTGGTCTCTTCTCACCCGCCCTGGTGGTCTCTCCTCCACCCCCTCTTAATAGTCTCTGCTCTCCCCTTGGTGCTCTCTCCTCTGCCCCCTCCCATAGTGGCCTCTCCTCTCCCCCGACCCTTAGTGACCTCTCCTATCCTCCACCCCTAGTGGTCTCTCCTCTGCCAACCCCTCCCTCCCTTAGTGGTCTCTCCTCTCCCACCACCCTCCCTTAGTGGTCACTCCTCATCCTCCAACCTTAGTGGTCTCTCCTCCCCCCCCAGTGGTCTCTCCTCACCCCTCACCCTTAGTGGTCTCTCCTCACCCCCGTTCTCTTAGTGGTCTCTCCTCACCCCCTACCTCCCTTAGTGGTCTCTCCTTTCCCACCCTCCCATAATGGTTTCTCCTTTACCCTCCGTTAGTGGTCTCTCCTACACCCCCCTCCGTCCCTTAGTGGACTCTCCCTGCCTTACCTCTATTGTAGCGTGGCCGAACTCCAGTCCGATCCGTGGTACAGGAGCTTCTGTTTCCTGTACCTGGCCAGACTGACAGGAAGTGCTCACTGAGTGAGCACTTCCTATCAGTCCGACCAGGTACGGGAAACGGATGCTCCTGTATCGCGTACCGGAGTGGAGCTCGGCCACCCTACACTGAGGGACTGGCAAGAGGGAGCACTGTGCGCTTCCCTCCTGCCGATCCCTCATATCTTGTGCCAGAGGCCCTCTATAGAGCGCTCAGGCGGCTGCAGTATTTGAGGGGCCGGCTCTCCTGTCCTGCCCTAGGTGACTGCCTAAGTCGCCTATAGGATGCGCCAGCCCTTTTCATTATGAGCGAAATTGATACTTTGATGGATTCATTTTCATATGAATCCGTTTTAATTCTTCTTTTTCCCCTTTTATTTTAATTTTTTATGTGTATTAGTTATGTGTAAAAACTCACAGAAAGGCAAACTGCAGACATCATGAACAGAGGAGAACAAAATAGCAGCAGCCAGATATTTATTGAGTTTCAGCTCAAGGAAGAAAATATAAATAAAGGCAAGTGGTAAACGATGGGAAGTGTAAGCATTAAGACACAAGCGGCACCAAAAAAAATTGAAAGAAAGAAAATATGACCGTGCTGCTTTAACATTTGTGAAACTGCTCCTTCTATACTTTAAACTTGTTTGATAATGGCCTTTGACATCTTTCATTCCTATATCAAGTAGTCTTGTTCTCATATACTTTAGTTTAGGTAAGTTTTGTTTACTCTGTGTACATTACCAAATGTTCTTAATAATGTAAATGAATTGCTCTTTACTAAAAGTCTTACTAAGTCCATGTGAAAAATTGTTTTGTTAACACAAAACTATCCTCCATCAGTATATTTTGCAGATTAATTGAATGTCAAAAAAGGAGAAAATGTTGCAACATTCGACATTAATGTTTTATTGCAATATTCAACATTAATGTTTTGAGGGTTCCCCCCCCAACTGTGGTACAAGAGACTACCTGAGGAAAAGTTGACAACAAAGTTATAATTAAAGCGTGAGTTCTAAATGTTCCAGCAGT